AGAACTATAATGGCTTTTCTAATAAAAATAAATTATAAAAATTCATATAAATATCAATAAAAAATCATGACATTGTTCGGCATATTTAATATTAAAATCATTTATTCATTCACAATGACCATTAGGGGGTGTTACCAGGGCAGTAAAACAGTAATTACTGCACCCTGGTGTTAAATATAGTGTTCCACACAGTAAAAACAAAATAATTACAACAATAGTGAAACCTACCTACTATTCAGTTTCACACTACTATAAACTAACTATTTACAAAGATATTAATTGTGAAGATTTTTAACAGAGGAAATGACAGTTATTCACACCAAGCACACGGTTATTAAATAACAGTGACTTAAAGGAATTCGCACTCGTGTTAACGACATTTTTAGTTAATTAAATAGCTAATATTAATAGAGGGTTTGGTACCTACATGAACCGCCGTGTGCCTATATGGAAAAATGTTTTTTAAATGTTGTAACTATTTGGTTTTGCCGAAGAAAGTTGACTTAAGTTAAATTGGTACAGACAAATGAGTTTCCTATTCGATATTTGTTTCATATCTGTACGATAAAATCGGAAATCAAAACACTCAAAAAGAACTCATCTAATTTAATTTATTCCATATTATGTAAGATCAGCATGATATAACTCTAACTTAGAAAGTAAAATATCATGATTAACCGTGTTACATGATGCCTTTCTAGATTTTGAAACAAAGCCATGTACCCCGTTAATTAGACAATCAACAATATTGTAAAGACATTCGTTATAAACTTTGTATGCATGTTGTCTTACTGTAACTAACTTAATATATATATATATATATATATATATATATATATATATATATATATATATATAAAGACATTCGTTATAAACTGATACATCTTTCTATGCATGTTGTCTTACTGTAACCATTAATATGTAAATTATAATAAGTACTGTACCATTATATGTACTAAGTACTGTACCATTATAATAATTACTGTACCATTAATATGTAAATTATAATAAGTCCTATTGAGGCTATCATATGATTTTGTAACGTATTTTTCAATATTGAATATAATTTTTGTGTTTTTATGATTCTCATTTTACCTTCGTTCATGTAATGCCACAAAACTTGAACTGAATTTACTCTGATTTTATTGGTCAAACATTTTTTCACACAGTTCCTAATAGTTTTTCTCACACTGAGAACAGTATCGATGTTGCAAATTTTTGTTTGAGATATAAACATCTTTTCAGGTTAATTGTTATCAAAACATTCAAGATATCAAGTGTTTAATGAAGATGATAAATCTTCAAACAGGTATCACAGCTGTACCCAACAATTTTTCAATCAAAAACAGTTATTGTGGTTTAATAATCATCTGGTGGAACAAACTTTCTTTTAGATCTATTTTTAGAGTTCTTTTAACTCAAAATAATTCTTGTGAGAACAAGATGAGAACAGTGCGATAACAGATTTGTCTCAAGCTTTGCAGCTTTTCTACATGTAGTGATGATGGACTTTAAAATATTGAAGCAAAGTCAATTTAAGCCGAAATGCACACAATATAAAGTGTTGAGACAAACAATGTTCAAATTAAAGTGTCCCGGAGCATTTTATACTGTCATTGATTCAATTAAAGCGTAGTAAAACAAGTTTGCTGAACCATGATTCAACAGTTGGGGCATGATGAATTTCGATTTACCCAGCACAATATCATTGAACAGATTGGTAAAGATAGACTTGACTCATGTGCAGTCACAAGCAGACTAAAAAATGTTTGGAGTTTTGAGCAAGATCTAAACCTACTTAAAATAATTTGTCATACAAAAGATGACAACTTTTCAAGCTGGTCTGTGTTACTCTTAAAAAGGTCAGCAGCAATGTTTTTTAATTAAAATCAGGATATAGTAAGGTGTCTTTACTACGTCCTGCTACAACTGATTTCAAGCTAGTAATCAACACTCGTCACATGACAAAATTTACTATAAGTACATGACAAAAGCCAAAAGAAAAATTGACCTGACTTGATTTCACCTATTATTTAACTTCAGTGAATTCCAACAAGTGCTTAGAACTGCTTTCATGAAATTTTTTAAAATCTGAAACTTCTGTCAGATCTTAACAAATTGCATGGACATTTTTCAATTTGTTGAATGAGAAGGGGAAGAACAGCTAAATTTAAGCTAACAACTATGTGTCCTGGATATATACAGTATATATAATTATATATTATATAAATATTCCCGCAACATACTTCAGCTTCATACCACTTAAAATGTTGAGCCATTCATTTCTTTTTTCTTAGCTAAAAATAGAAACACAATACTCCAACTGTATCACTTAATTAAATAGTTACAACCTTAAATTATTAAAATAAGAATTTGATTATACAATTACTTTATGGTTCCCGTGTTTGGATGGCCTGATCCAAACACGCAGGAATGTTGCGAGGGTTAACAAACTTCACCCTTAGTACAGTACATTTTACTACAATCAGAAGATGATTTACTCAACCCTATTTGGATGGCAGAAGTGGTTGGTCATGCAATTTTCAGCTTGTGAATGGTAGACCTACTCATGACACAGTCACTGTTCAAGAGCCAATAATCTCATCTGGGGGCCTATAACACTTACTTAAATATTTATACTGGTTTTATTATAGACCGGCCAACAATAATTATGGACTGGGTGCAAACATGACCTTTTGTGGACCAGCACATACACTGTTATATGCTTTTGTCCAATTTGAAAATTTAACTTTATATATAACAATAACAATTATGACTAACCTTGTCAGGGAAACAAATATTCCAATCTTTACCACTGGCATGATGATGGACCAATCGCTCAACTTGTTGTTTCTTCCCCTTCCCATTCAACCCTGGTAAGCCCAATGACTGTAAAATTGCAGTAAGTTCAGTTCCATGCAATTTGCTGAGTATGACAGAAGGATCAGATTTCATGAAAACACCTGTCAAAAATTCCATGACCGCAGAAGCATCTGTTGGATTTCCACGAAATGCAACCAGGCATTCTTCAGGTTCGATCCATTTTTCTTTTGACTTTTGTCTTTTACCAACAGTTTGTCGCAATGATGAGCTTTGTTTATTGGCTTTCAGTTGTAGTTGCTCCCTGATGATTTGCTGCTTCGATTTCAAAAACATTGCAGTAACTCTTTGTAGTAATAACACAGAACCAGCACGAAAAGTGTCATCATCTTCATCTCCCAATAATTTCTGCCACAGCTTACGTAGGTTTAGATCTTCGCTCAAAAACTTTAAACATGTTTTCAATATGTCTTTGTCTGCACATGATTCAAGTCGTTCTTTAACAATCTGTTCAATTATATTGTGTAGGTAGACAAAAAAACTCCAAAACTTCTGGAATTGGGGCGAATAAAAATCTTCCTGGCTGAATCAAGATGTCATGCCCCAACCGTTGAATTAATGACAGTATGAAATGCTTACTCACTTCCACTTGAACATTGTTTGTTTTTGAAACCTGAATTTTGTGTACTTCAGGTCCATCTTTAAATAAATCTCTTACACGCTTAAATACCCAACCAGCATGCTCTTGAATAGACTTTCCTTCAATATTTTCAAGTTCATCACCACATTGAGTAGAACTGGATGAGCCACAAGCTACAGAGGTTGTTGATAAATGTATTAGTGCACTGTTCTCATCTAAATCACAAGAATCATCTAAAACTACAGAACTCCAAAAATGCTGCAGAACATGGTTTAATACAATGTTTGTCCCATCAGATGATTGTAAGCCACAGGATTGTAAAAGTGAAGACCACTTGTTTTGGATTGAAAGATTGTCGCGTAAGGTCACAAAACTTCTTTCAAGATTTACCAGCTTCTTATTTAGACACTTGATATCTTCAATGTTTTGATAACAAACCTGAAAACAGGTTGATATCTCCTTCAAAAATTCAACAGCAACATCGATACTTTTCTCAGTGTGAGAAAAAATCGCTCTCGCAGCGCTGGCCTCGACCGTTTCACTCTGTGGAAGGCCAACGGTATTAAGAACCTTGCGAAAAAATGCTTGACCATTTTTAGAAAAAATCCAGTTTAAGTTTTGTGGATTTTTTAGGCAAGCTATTGGCGTAGTTTCCTCTTCCAACATGATCTCGCTCATGCCATCCGCCATTTTCGTTCATATATTCGGGGGGCATCACACATAGATCAGGGGCGCTATCTTCGTTTCGCCGCCCGTGTTTTACTGCGCCCTGGTAAAAGTAAGCGTAGAGTGCGCGTTTTGTTTGATACGGGCAGCCATAGGTCTTTTATCACTGCGCGCGTGGCCACGTCGCTGTGAATACGACCCCTTCGAAAGCAATGGGTAGCGTTAAACACCTTTGGCCAACAGGCTGTAGGCTCTAACCTTAGAGAAGTAGTGCATGTTGACCTAGTTCCTGTGGGGGGAGGTAAAATTTCAAGTTTCGAAGCTATTGTAGTTCCTGAAATTTCGCAGGTCCACAATGAGCATTTAGAAATTGCGCGAAACGATTACCTACATTCAGCCAATATATGGTTTTCAGATGTTTGTCAGAAGAGAGAGGAGCTGGAGATAGATATTTTAATAGGTACAGATTATTTATGGAGTTTTCAGACAGGGAAAATTGTACGAGGTAACATAGACGAACCAGTTGCTATAGAAACGTCTCTAGGTTGGGTCGCTAGTGGACCAATGAAGAACAGTGCGGCTGTGGAAGGTGCGCAAGAGGTAGATGCTATTTTTGTTGGTAATTGTAGTGTACAAACTGATCAACTTGAGGAAAACGTAAAACAAATGTGGGATTTAGAGACCTTAGGAATTGTTGAAGGTCATGAGATACATGACGAATTTGTTGATTTTTTTTCATTAAATTTAACGGAAATCGATATTCAGTAAAACTCCCGTGGCGAGACGGTCACGAGAACTTGCCAAGTAATTTCGAACTTAGTTTAGGTCGCTTGAAATCACAGGTTCGAAAGCTCAAAAAGGACTAAAGGAGCCAGACATACTTGGGGAGTATCATAAAGTAATCGCAGAACAAATTAATTCAGGCATAGTAGAAAAGATATCAGATGAGGATGATTGCGCGACAGTTCACTATATTCCTCATCTTGCGGTAATTCGAAAGGAAGCTAAAACCACGAAATTAAGAGTTGTTTATGACGCTTCAGCCAAAATTGACAAAACCAGCATGTCGTTGAATGATTGTTTGTATAAGGGGCCATCGCTTTGCCGTGTGGTATTCGGATTGAACGCATCTCCGTTTTTACTGAACGCAACCTTGCGGCATCATATTTCAAAATACAAGTCAGATGACCCAGAATTTGTTCGAAAACCTTTAGACAGTTTTTACGTAGATGATTTAGTGTCTGGTGAAGATAATAATAATAATAAATTAAGAAAATGGCTAACGAATGACAAATAATTAAGGGAAAAAATCGACACTCTGAAACTAGGCCTGAAAGTGATTGTTTACAGCCAAACGCTGATGGCGAAGAGAGTTATGCACAACAAACACTAGGAATAGGCTCGAAGTTAAGTAGCGGTCATGAAAGAGTTTTCGGTCTTTCATGGGATATTGTAATTATAAATGACAACTTTATATTTGAATTCTCAAAACATGCTGAATCGACTAAAAAGTTGACTCTGACTAAACGAAACATACTCAGTTTACTTGCGAGTCAATTTGCATGGGCGATGGGTGGATTGGTCCTATTATTATTATTCGCATGAAAATGTTGTTTCAGGAGATTTGTCGAGAAAACCTTGACTGGGATGTAAATTTAGAAGGGCAATTTAAACTCAAGTGGGAAGAAATAGTAAGACATTTGTTAGCAATCAAAGAGATTAAGGTAAGTCGATGCATTTATAAACATCCGAAGCGGGTAATCCGCAAGTGCTTTCTCCACGGGTTTGGAGACGCAAGCACTATAGGTTATTGCGCTGTTGTATATTTGGTATATCAGGGGGAAAACGGAATATATACAGCATTGCTTACTTCAAAGTGCCGAGTGGCACCACTGAAAGAATGAACTATCCCACGATTAGAACTTATGTCAGCAAAAATTATGGCTCAATTAATGGATAGTGTAATGAAAGCCATGGAACGTGACATTAAATTTAATGGATTGAAATATTGGTTAGACAGTAAAACAGCCCTGTGTTGGATTGAAAACAGGGGGGAGTGGAAACAATTTGTTCGTCACCGCGTTGGTGAAATTTTAAAATTAACAAACAAAAATGATTGGGAGTACTGTCCGAGCGCGGAAAATGCCGCAGACTTAGGCTCAAGAGGCACGTTTGGCTCTGATTTGAAAGACGAAAAGCTTTGGTGGCACGGACCTTTATGGTTAAGTCAAGAGGAACATAATTGGCCACAAAAGGCAAATATTATAAGTACCCCGGAGAGCGATGGTGAGAAGAAAATTTCTCGGTGTCACTGTGTTAGTTGTCGAAATAACAGAACCGTGCAGTATTGACCAAGTTTTAGACATAAGTCGATATATATAGTCATATAGACATATAGTTCTTTGAGAAAACTCGTGAGAGTCACAGCACTCGTTTTACTTTTGTCTATAAGCTGAGAACCCGGAACGTATTACAGCATGATGAAAATGAGTTGACAGATCGGGAAGTTATTACCCTAGATCGAGAGGAATTAATTAACGCAGAAAATGCGTGGGTTGAAGTGGCGCAAACAGAGTTACGCAAACAGGATAATTTTGATCAACTTAAAAGGACGTTAAATATAATTGAAGATGAAAATGGCATTCTTAGGTGCGTAGGAAGACTTGAAAATTCAGATTTAAGTGATTTTGCTCGTAGACCTTTAATTTTGCTTAGAGAACACAGGTTTACTAATTTAGTTATTGAAGATTGTCATACTAGAGTTCACCACAGTGGACTTTATAGAAGGTCGTTAGGCGAATTGCGTTCAAGGTACTGGGTACCAAGAGCGAGGCAGATTGTTAAGAAAATAATTCATAAGTGTGTCATATGTAAGAAGGTTGCAGGAAAGTCTTATACGGCCCAACCTATGGCGGCCTTACCAGAGTTTCGAGTACGTGAAAGTTTCCCGTTTTCAAAAGTCGGAGTTGATTTTGCCGGACCATTATTTGTTAAGAGTAAGATAGGAGAATCGAAAAAGGCTTACATTGCCCTTTTCTCTTTTTGCGTGACACGTGCGATACATCTGGAATTAGTTGAAGATTTGACATCACAAACATTTAGACGAGCACTTAGGCGTTTTTCGAGTAGACGCGGAACTCCGGCCCTGATAGTTTCAGACAATGCTAAGACATTTCGTGCAACACAGAAGGCTCTAAAACAGTTGTACGGCCCTAATGAAAGTTAACCATTCTCGCTCGATGCTATCGAGGAAAATGTTTCGAGTATCGAGATCTCGAAACCCACTCGATAAAAAATCTCGCTCGCTCGACAGGCTTCTCGAAACGCGCTTCGCGTTACTCGATGCACAAGAATTTTGCGAGAAGCAAGAAATCTCGATGCAAACATTCACGAGAATCCTCGCAGCGCTATACTGCGTGTAAAATTTTTCGCATACGTAAATAATCTGCAACTACTGGTAGAAGTAACGTTGCTTCGCAAGTCCGTGCGAAAACACGGGGTAAACTGAAATTAACAATACACATACGAGACAATAAGTTGTCGGTGGAGTTCCTGTTATTGTGGTTGTAAAGATGGTGCATGAATACAGCTATCGGTTACTAAATGCAATCAACCGAAGCGAACTAACATTATTTATAGCCTAAGGGTATAATTATATAGATTGCTTTTGGTGTATATGAGTCACACCGTAAAATTTTGGAAATAGTCTTATTTTCTATTTCTGACTAACGATAACGAGTAGGTTGAGCCGCTAATTCTAATAAAGTATATAATAGAAAGAGCGTGTTTTTTACTGACACTAACATGTAACACTTCGAATAAACAGACGCTGATTTAACCAGGGAATTTTGTTTATCTTGAGGTTGTGTAAAGGTGAGTAACGAAATAATATAACCGCTATCACCCTATCATAGTTATATTTTTAGGGAACTGGTAAATATATGACAAAATACGTGACGTTTGCCATGCAAGGAAACAGCAATTATCCTATATTTCGCCACATGTTGGTCAAACTCTCCCTCGATTTCGCACGATACAAACAATTTTCGAGAACTCTCGCTCGATATCTAGTCTACTGTAATTAAAGTCTTCGAGAACACTCGCTCGATATTAAAAATTTTCGAGAACGCTCGCTCGCTTCGCGCTCGCATTCTCGCAACTCGCAGATTTCTCGTTAGGGCTCAAATCGCGCTCGATAGCCTCTCGCTCGAACTCGCAACTCGCTCGTTACACGATGTTAACTTTCATTAGGGCTGTACTGTAGGAGCGAACTCAAACGTACGAAAACAGAATGGCGTTTCAACCTGGAACGCGCTCCCTGGTGGGGAGGATTTTTCGAACGCCATATGGGATGCGTGAAGGCATGTTTAAAGAAGGTACTAGCCTACTAGGCAATGCAAAACTGACGTTTGACGAATTACTGACTCAGTTGTGATAGAGGTTGAATGCATTTTAAATTCCAGACCATTGACGTATACGTACGAGGAACTAGACGAGGACGTTTTAACTCCATCACATTTAATTCATGGCAGGCGTTTAAAGTCTTTGCCAGATGAGAACATAGAGGAAGCAGTTGAGAATGAGACTAATTGTTGTAAAAGATTTAGACATTTGACTCTTAGGTTAGTCATTAGTGCACTTTTGGAATAGATGGAGAAAGAAATACTTAACAGATCTTAGAGAGTTTCACAAAGCCAAGAGTAGTAGCGAGAACAGGAAGCCAATAGAGCTGGGAGATGTAGTTATAGTTTTTGAAGAGAATAAGAAACGAGCACAGTGGAAAACAGCGGTTGTCGAAAGACTAATTAAAGGTAAAGATGAGATAATTAGAGGTGCAGAAGTTAGGGTAATCACGAAAGGTAAACGTTTACGCATTTCAAGACCAATTCAAAAACTATACCCTCTAGAAATAAGAGCCACCCTCGAGAAAAATGAAGGGGTTAAGAAAACGCTCGTAAGTAAGAGCGACACTCCCAGACATAATCCTAAGCGAGCGGCGGCGCTGGACTGTCGATGGAAAATGCGTAGGATTGATTCGTAGCGAATCAAAGGGGGGAGAGTGTTGTAAAAGTTGCGTTAATTGTATGTAGGAAATATAATTTAGATTGTAAAATATGAGGATGTTTGTAGGCAAAATATATAGTTGTTTTTGCCAAAACTTATAATGAACGGATGGACAGAGATTGGGTCATCGTAAGAAGCCAACGCAGCAAACCCCGCTTTTTGGTAGCCTGCATGGCAGGCGGTACTTAGGAAATACCGCCTGCATGCCGCAAAACTGGGTGTGAATGAACTACCGCCCCATGAAGCATCAAAGCTATTTATAGATGTCATTTTTAAGTAAATATTCAAAATTAGCCACTCCCAAGTTGCTACCAAGTCTCAACATAAAATATTAAATTCCTTGATTATCATCACCGCCCGACTGAATTTTAAAATCCTCGTGAAAATGTTTTATATTTCGTTATACAATATAAATGTACCGCCCGACAAAATAATTCAAGACAGTTAATTTTTTTATATTTTATATAGGGTTTTTAGTGCCAATTTAAACTTCCAATTTCAAACAAACAGAATTTTGAATGAAATTTCATTGTATTTTAAAGAAACTCAGTCATTCTGTCATTGTTCGTGGAGATACGAGTTGATATATAAATTATATACTGAATATAAAATATAAAAAATAAATCTCCCACTGTCTTCGACATTTCAAAGTGTAGACTGTGTCTAGTGATGAGAATCAAGGAATTTATTTTATGTGCAGCCTTTAATATATTAAGGGAGTGGTCATTCTTTATGGGGAGTGGGGTGGTTGGGAAATGGGAGGGGGGACAAACGAAGTTTTACCCTTATAAATAGGGGGGGGGTCAAAAAAGTTTTAGCAGAGAAAGGGGGGAGGGGTCATAAAAGTTTTTGAACTTAAATACCATGTGTAGAGTTCTGATTTCTATAATCACAAATAACAAAAAAGAAGACTCTGAAAATGCTATTTCCAACGATCTAGAGACTCAAAATTTTCAAAATTTCCCTGCTCGGCGCCAACCATGGTAGCGCCTCGCGATCGTGGGAGCCGGGCCCACTAAGTTTAACAAGCTTTCTACCCCCTGAGGCCTGAGTGACTCTGTTGTGTTATTTTAATTTACATAAACATACCATGCAAGTACACTTAACTGATCAGATTCGGTCTATCAACGCACAATGTAACGCTGTATATACTATATCCAAAAATCTGTTTCAGAAAATGCTCACATTTCAGTTCTAGGGGTGGAAAAATACAAAAAATTTTCTGGGGGAGAATACCCCCAGACCCCCCTACTAGTACATACGATACCACACCAAACTTTTTGTCACCAACAACCATCTGTCATCTCTCCACACTCAATATAGTATGGTCCCTTTTTGTAGATGCCCACCCCCAGACAAGTTCTTAAAAACACCCTGTGTTCAAATCATTTCGCTGTATGAAGACAGGTCATGGGTTAGGGTTATGGTAGGACAAATGTTGCATTGCAAACTAGTAACACATAATATATATTCTTTAATCATATATGGTTGAATCATATTCACCAAGGTAAAACATCATGAGCTAGATTAAACAGATTGTCCTAATATCTAACTTTACCTGCAACGCACACTTGTTTCATGGCTGTTAATTTTTCAATCCACACTGGGGGGGGGGTCAGAAAAGTTTCTACTTTTATGAGGGGGGAGGCACAAAAAGTTTGCCTTCAGTCTGGAGGGGGGGGGGGCAAAAAAGTTTTCAATTCTTCTTTTCCCCATTTCCCAACCCCCCCCTCCCCATAAATAATGACCACTCCCTAA